ATTTATTGAACAGGATGGAATCATTTCAGATTTAAAGAACTTTCAGAAGTTTGGATTCTGAATGTGAGCGACTTTTCCTTTACAAAATCTGCATCGGTTCATACCTACTCAGACTATTTTAGCGTGATGCATTCACTGACTTGAAAGGAAGCAGAATTATCACCATTGGTAAGGTTAAAAACGCCAGAGAAGGTCCAGAAACTGAAGAAAACCGGAACCCTGATAAAGTCAAAGCCCGCCCCTCCCTCCGCTGCGTCTTTGTTGCTCTAAATCTCTCATGTAATTCAAGTCCAACAGGACCCATTGTCTCCTGACCTCTGACCCCGGCCCAGAGGCATTTTAATCTCGGCGGCGCAGGAAGAAGAGGCTGGATAAACGCGTCGCAGAGGGACGGATGGAAGATGGAGGCTCAGGTTTCTCTGTAGCAGATTTGCCTGAACTGGCTCTGGGTTTTTGCATCTGTAAACAGTTTTCCATTCCAGTCAGAGGCTGGTGAGGAAAGCCTTCTCCTCCCTGCAGGAGCCTCACCATTCATACCAGGTTTTCCTTCTCCTTCCCCCCCCCAGCTCAGGAATTCTAATCAGGAACAACAAGCCAGAGCAGGAGGAGCACATGATTCTGAGGTTTCACATGTTCTTCAGACACACGGACGTCACAGATAGCAGCATGACATTACTCCAAAGATATTCCTTATCTGGAGGCAGCTTCGCTGGTGCAGCTCCTCCATCTTGTTCAGGGCAGAAATGCATCCATTTCACTTACAGCAGCGGCGGGCTGGAAACTGTTTTTACTTTTATGGGACCAGTAGAACCACACCAGGTAGCTTTCCTCATCAGCCTCACATCGGGTGGCAGACATGTCGGCCTCTTCTTCTCTGCCGTTTGGATTCAGCTTAGGGAGGAAGTCGGCCGCTCACAGATGACGATCTCCGATGATGCTACTCTAGGCTTAAAATGCTGGAGGACCATTTTTCATCATTCTATCTCTGTTCTCCCACTCTGTAGAATCTGTTAGTTCCATCTCTAACGTTCTGGATGACTTTAAACTGAAGAGAGAAGTTATCACCTTTAGACCAGAACCAACTAAATTATCTTTAGTTCTGGTGAGTTCAAAGCTTAATGCAGACACCCTGTCTACTTTTAAGGCTAGGCTTAAAACTTTCCTTTTTGATAAAGCTTCTAGTTAGAGTGGTTCAGGTTATCCTGATCTATCTCTATAGTTCTGCTTCTATAGGCTTAGACTGCTGGAGGACA